CTCACCTTCCCAACACAATCGCTGAAGACAAAGCAGGTGCATAAGCAAATGTAGTGAAGAAAGCTGATGGTGCCTGGCTTAAAGATAAACAAGCGGCCATCTAGCTGAGAAGCAACAAAGCCCATGAGGAAGAAGCACACCAGCCTGTGTGATCATGAGGTTTCAATAGGACCAGGTATCAAAGACCCAGAACAAAAAACCCTATCACTGTGAATGAGGGGGAGTGTGGAGTGAAGACCTAAAGTGCATCTATAGATAATTGGACATCCCCTTACAGAAGGGTCACAGGGAGAGACAAGCCAGTCAGGGTGCAGTATAAAACATATTGCACCGATAAAACATACAACTTTCCAAATATGGCTAGACCAGAGGATGACACTGGTACAGATAAGAGCTGGAAACACAGAATCCAGGACAGATAAACTAACAACAGAAAAGTAGGTGTAGGGAGACAATGGTCAGTTTAAAACATTTAAAAAAAAAGTTATAAATTATCAAGGGTCCATGAGGGAGGGAGGGGAAAAAATGAGAAGTGGATACCAAGGGCTCAAGTAGAAAGAAAATGATGATGGCAACAAATGTGCTTGACACAATGGATGGCTCATGATGAGTTGTACGAGCCTCCAATAAAATGATTTAAAAAGAAAGACTAGAAGGTATTACACAAAACTGAAAGCAGCTATGGTAAATGTAGACTTCTAGATGCATTTCAGTGCAGAATGTTGGTATTATTTTCTTGGAGAAAAGAAGCATACCTTTCATGTTTGGATCAATTTTTTTTGAGCCAGCAGGGATAGGTGACACGCTGGCAACATTGGATGACACGGATCGATTTGGTGTTCGAGGGGAGCCTCCTGGAACTCTTGGTGAGGCATCCTATGTAAAAACATGAAAAACCACAATTATGAAACCCCCCAAATCTGTCAACTTCATGAAAGCTATTATGATAAAAACAAATTACTTTGCAACTGTCCCACTTCTATTCAACTCTTATTTCTACACTGCAAGCCACTGACAAAAATGTTTGTAAGGGTGTCCTCATTATTAGAGAAGACTACAGGCCCATCACATTTTAGAATAATTAATTTCCTTCAACAGAAAATGAATTTATTAAGAATGAGTTATGGTCTCTCTAAGTTGGCAGGATAAATAATTTGGAGATGAAAAGAACGGGACCAATGATTCTGGGGGGATACGAGAGAAGGGGAGGTGGGAGAAAGGGTGGGGGGAACCAACCCAGGGAAAAGGGAACAACAAGT